AAAAGGGAAACTCCTCAAAGTTAGGGTTAGGATAGGGTTTTGTTTTTGTCTTTCCAGAAAAATTAAAACATTTAACTAAAAAAAAAATCTAAAGACCAACTAAAAAATCTAAACTGGACAAATAAAACATCAAAAGAAGGACAAATCATCCAGGAAAAAAATGTCCCAAGAAAAAGATTAAATTTGCTTAATGGTACACACCCATATTACCAAGAGTTGGGGTGGGTGGTTCTGGTCATTTGATGGGTATTTGTAATCATTTAAGGGGTTTGGTTACATGTTGTAATTGGTTATGATCAGGGAGAAAACTAAGAAAAGAAGATTAGATTCAAAGATCTTGTTTTAAAAAGAAAAAGGGGGTATAGAAATGACAGAAGGGTAGATTATTAAATCTACTTTCAAACTAAAAGAACAACTACTAGTCTCAAATAGTTTACACTGGGATGGATTTTTGTAAATTAATACAAATTTAAGGTTATTTTTGTTATACTGTATATACATCTCTACTCTTATTTAAGATATTTTTGTACATTGATAGAAATTTAAAGTTATTTTTGTTATACTGTATATACATCTCTACTCTTATTTAAGATATTTTGTATATTGATAGAAATTTAAGGTTATTTTTGTTACACTGTATATACATCTCTACTCTTAAGATATTTTGTATATTGATAGAGATTTAAGGTTATTTTTGTTACACTGCCTGTATGCTTCTACTCTTGTTTAAGATATTGTATCTTTACAGCTCATTTAAAAATGTAATATAAGTTTTATTACTCAAAAGCTATTTAGGTTAATAAAAAAGGCAGGTTAACAGTTAATTATCTATAACAATCAAATTTATAGTCATGTTAGGTAAGTTTTAAAAGTCAAGAAAATATATTTTAAATAGATGGTCTTCAAACATTTCAGAAACCTACAAACTATGGCATTTAAAATGTTTTAATAACATAAGTCTTTCATGACAAAGAGACTTGTCTGCTCCTGAGAGCATCAATTTACTTTTAAAAAAAAAAGGATGATGGGCATTGAAGAACCTTCAAATAGAGTTTGCTTTTAATGTGTCAAATCTAGCCATTTGGGCAAGACACTGCCTTTGCCTTGACTGGTGCAGTATGCTGTCCATACTGGACAAACAGGACATCAAAGGTGACTGCCAAACTTTGCCAAGCCGAGGTTGGATGGTCCTTCAAAAGTTTCTGCTTCACAAATCTCTTTCAGATATTCTAGGCCTGTAGCCCAATGATAGATGCCCCAATGTTACAAAGGAACCTTGAAGGGACTGTCCAGACAGCCAGATGTCTGACATTCCTATAGTTTTAGAAGTTGTTTTCTCTTCACTTCCTGTTTTCTCAGGTCTCTGATGGGGTTGAAGACTAGATAGTTATAGTATTCCTTAGTTATGATAGAAAGTAAATTAGGTATAAACCTTTGGACTCACCAAAAGAGGATAGATAATGGTGTATTTTCTTGGAATTTGCCAAATACAAATGGACTGGGCCTTGTAAATGCAATTCTTACTTGATAATTGTTTTTATTTTATACAGTTTCATTTTATTGTAATGTCAATACCTTTCCTTTTTAGCTAAACAATAACTGATCATTGTTCTTATTGTATATAATTTTACTATGCTAAAGTTAAAGCCTTCCCTTTTTATTTAGACAAAAAGGGGGAAATGTTGTAGAAGATTTATTTGTGTTGTTGCTCTGAGATCACCACTGAGTTTTCTGGACAACTCAGAGGAAGACAGAGGAACACAGAGAGGAATAAGGAGGGGTTTAAAAGATGCACGGTCTTTTTGGCCTGATAAGTTGGAGAAGAGGGTCAGGTGATCATTTCTCCATCACTCCATGAATCTATCAGGTTTATTCCCTAATATTTGACTCCCAAACTTGTTTTAAAGATTTTATTTACTCTGATTTCATGTGCATGAGTGTTTTGCCTGCATGTATGCAAATATGTCTACTAAGTACAATGCCTATAGAGGCCAGAAGAGGGTGTCAGATTCCTTAGAATTGGAGTTATAGGTTGAGAGCCACCAAGTAGGTGCTAGAAATTGAATCCAGGACCTCTGGAAAAGCAGTTGATACTCATAACCACCAAGCCATCTCTCCAGCCACCCCAAGAAGCAGCAGTAACCCCGGGTTAGCCTTGAACTTGCTACGTTGCAGAGAATGGCCTTGACTTTCACACCCTTCTGTCATGTTGGGATTATAGACCTGGACCATTTTTTATGCACCTAGGCAAGCACTCCATCCCCAGCTTGAGCAAATGCACAGCTCTGCTTAAATCTAAACAGGCTCTAGAGCTGAGGAGGTTAGGAAAGCCTTGTGCTGAAGGTGTGTTTTGTTTTGCTTTTTTTGTTTGTTTTTGTTTTGTTTTGTAGCTTTGTAGCTATCTTGGAGCTTGCTCTGTAGACTAGGCTGGCCTCAAACTCACAGAGATCCACCTGTGTCTGCCTCCCAGGTGCTGGGATTAAAGGTGTGTGCACCACTGCCTGGCTCAAACTGAAGCTTTAAATCAGCATGAAAAGAATGCTGCTCTTGGAGTACCTGGCACCAGCTCCTTCAGGACAATGTTTTAGTTTAGTTTAGTTCCAATCTGATCCCTTTTCTCTAAAGAATGCTCAGAAAGCTCTCGGCAATGGTGAAACACACCTTTAATCCCAGCACACAGGAGGCAGAGGCAGGCAAATCTCTGAGGCCGGCCTGGTCTACAGAGCTGGGACAGCCAGGGCTATAATAGAGAAACCCTGACTCAAAAAACCAAAATAAATAAATAAATAAATAAAAGGAAAAGAAAAAAGAATGCTCAAGAGAAGACATTAAGCCGGGTGGTGATGGCACATGCCTTTAATCCCAGCACTTGGGAGGCAGAGACAGGTAGATCTCTGTGAGTTCTAGGCCAACCTGGTCTACAAGAGCTAATTCCAGGACAGGCCCCAAAGCTACAGAAAAACCCTGTCTTGAAAAACCAAAAAAATATATATATAAAAAGAGAGAGAAGACATCAAGATATCTGCTGGTCCCTTGTCTATAAATGTCTAGATTCTAAAACTCTCCGAATTCTTGAGTAGAATAGGCACCTGGGGCTTCATTTGCATAGGAATTCTAAGACTGAGACAATATTAGGAAAGAAGAGGAGGGTGGTTGTGTCACTACAGCTCCTTCCCTCTCTTGCCTGGCACCCAGTAACAAAGAAAAACCCACTTCACAACCGCCTCGTGCCCCCACACGTGGCATTGCTTTCCTTATGCAACGTGGAGAATTTATCTATTTTCTCTAAAAGAACTCCTAGATGGTTCAGTAACATATACATGATCATCTCAAATAGCTGGTGGGAGACACATCACATTCTGCCATCAAGCTTGTTAAAAGAGTACCCCAGAGACCACCTGCCCAAACATATAATTGTTCAATGCTGAACAAGGGGTCCAGTCAGCACTGAGACGGGTCTCTGCAATGCACAAAGAGTATGTTTATACACAGTCCTGGTTCATGGAAAGAAACGCTCATTTGGCTTAAAACACATAAATAAATAAAGCATTTCTTCATCCTAAAACTGGGCAAATTAAAGGACAGGATTGGAAATGTTCTTCTCAAGCCACAGAGTAAAAGGTTAAGAAATTAACCTGAAATCAAATTAAAAAGCTAAGTTTCCAGGGGGAAATTCAGAGGGCAAAACAGAGAAGCAGGGTCGGGAAGAGAGAATGAAGGTGGCTAAATCTAGACAAGTCCCAGGAAGCTGTGCGGGTCCCTAGCCACCAGTTCCCTGCAGTGGACCAGGGAACCAACTTTGTTCACACTGCATCAGGTCCAGTTAGCTTTACAATGTGTCCATATGTGTCAAATGCATCAGGTCCAGTTAGCTTTACAATGTGTCCATATGTGACAAATGTTTCCATAAACTTTGTAGTAGCTCACTTTCTATTCCTGTGATAAGCATCATGACCAAAAGCAACTTAGGTTGGAAAGGGTGTGTTTCAGCATACAGCTGTAGTCCATCACAAGGGGAAGTCAGGGAAGGAACTCAGGGGCAAGGATCTGGAGGCAGTAATTGAAGCAGGGGTCATGGAGAAATGCTGCCTACTGGCTTGCTCCCCATGGCTTGCCCAGTCTGCTTCTTTAAAGCACCCAGGACCACCAGCCCAGGGGTAGCAACCACCCACCATGAGATGGGCCGTCCCACAGCAATAGCTAATCAAGAAAATCTTCCCGCAGACTTGCCTACAGATAATTTGAGGTGGCATTTTCTCAACTGAGATGCCTCTTCCTAGGCAACTCTAGCGTGAGTCTAGTTAACAAAAAACCAAATAGGACAAATACCTTTGTCCCTGTGGTGGTCTGAATGAGAAATGTCCCCCATTTACTTGAATATTTGAACACCTGGTTCCCAGTTGGTGGCACTGTTGAGGAGGTTTAGGTGACACAGCTTTGCTGGAGGAAGTACTAGGGCTCTGAGATTATAAAGCCTCCCCCACTTCCAGTTCACTCTGTCCACTCCATCCTAGGTGGAAGATGTGAGCGCTCACCTTCCTGCTCTAGACACCAGGCCTGCTTGCTTGCTTGCTGACACACTTCCCCACCATGACAGACTCTAATCTCTCTGGAACTATAAACCCAAATATACTCCTCCTTTTTGTAAGTTGCCTTGGTTGTGAGGTTTCTATAAGAGCAACATAAACATTACCAATACAGGTCCTTTTTACAGTCTAGGTTTTTAAAAAAATAGCTTCATTATGGGTAATCCTAGAAAAATATGTAAAACTCTAAACTGCAGCCTTCAGAGGTTTACTCACAATCCCTGCTACATTGAAAACAGTATTAAGGAAACCAGAATAGTTTAAAATCATCACAAATTACACACAACTTTAGAAAACCTTGTATGGGATACATTTTTCTATTTGTTATTTATTTATTTATCGCTGATTTTTCTTTTTTATTTAAAATTGTTTTCATACAATATATTGTACACATGTTCTCTTCTTTTCCCAATTAAAAATATGGAATACTTCATGAATTTGCATATCATGTGCACAGGGACCATGCTAATCTTTATGTCATTCTAATTTTGATATACATATGAGGCCAAAGGGAGCATGCATCAACCTTTAATATTAAGTAAAGGAAAAGGGTAGAAGGCTTAGCTTTTCAAAAGCATGCACAGAGGAATTTCTGCATTATTTTTTAGATAAGTAATCACTGACAAGTCAACGTGTTTTGTTCTGTTTTAGACAGGGCCTCCCTTTGTAGCCCTGGATAGCCTATAACTAGCTATTGTAGATCATATGGCCTTAAGCTCAGAGATCTGTCTGCCTCTGCCTTCCAAGTACTGGGAATAAAGGTGTGTCAGTCTTTTGTGTGTGTGGTGTATATATGCATTCATGCACATGCATATGTGTGTACATGCCAGAGATTGTCATATATCCTTTTATGTCATTTTCCAGGGTCTCTTATCCAACCTGGAGCCCATCACTTTGCTAGATGGGGTGCAAACTGCAACAAGTTCACCCAGACAAATTCCCTTGTATTTCATCTCTAGATACCCATTGCCCCGACCTACTTTTTTTTTTGAGAGAAGATCTCATGCATCTGGCCTTGAACTTGCCAAGTAGCTAAGGATGATCTTGAACTTTAAAGGTTACTCTGACAATTTCATCATTCATCCACACACTGTATCCTGATCATATGCACCCCAGCTCCCTGACCAGGGACTTCTGACTTTCCTGTCTCTTCCTCCTGAGTGTTGGGACCGCGCCATGTACCACTATGGCCTTTTAGTGTGGTGTACTGGGGGACTGAATTCTGGACTAGATGAGCTCCGTGTGGGCTGAGCTAACCTCTAACCCCTCCATACGGAACTTGTTGTGGACTTCCTCCATCGGATTATACTACAGATCACACATTTGTTTTCCAAGGGCTTGCTAAGCTACGCTGCATGAACGCATCTTCCGTTTCAGATGTTCGGAACTGGGCTTCACGCCTTCTGATGTTTCACTGGGGATCCTAAGTTTCTTCTGCACACTTCCTAGTTCAGTACTCAACTGTCAGGCTCCTTTGCTCCCTTTGGGGTTTTAGTTACACAGAGGACAGGTATTCAGAAATCCTCCCCGCAGAAGTGATCAGAGTTTGTAAGTAAAGGAGCCTGAAGGAAAGCTATGAGAATCTATTTCCCTTAGAGTGCCGGAGTGGGGGGGGGGGGGGGGGAGGGGGCGGGGAGAGGAACCAGCAGTCATACTCAGCTGTGAATTCTGTAAGTATCATAGCGACTGGCATGGCTGATGAGACGGATGGCTGGTGCAATAGCGCCGTGAATGTTATGGGAGCAACCAATCACTTTCTCGTTGGATTCAAGGCCTCCTCCACAGAACTCTTGTATGGTACTGTTAACTAGGCCAAGCGTCCACAGCTGTATATGTCATAGACTCTAGGGGAGAGTATACTCTGCTCAATAGACGTGGTATTAAATTGCACCCTAAGTTCTTATTTTTCTTCTGTGTAGCCCTGGTTGTCCTGGAACTCACGCTATAGACCAGGCTGGCCTCAAACTCAGAGATCCACCTGCCTCTGCCTCCCGAGCGCTGGGATTAACGGTGTGCACCACCAATGCCCAGCTCTTAAGTTATCTCTATACCTGCACATTAGTTCATTTTTTAAAATTTTTTTATTTTTATTTTTTTTAAAGATTTATTTATTTATTTCTTATGTATACAACATTCTGCCTCCATGTACGCCTGCATGCCAGAAGAGGGCACCAGATCTCATTACAGATGGTTGTGAGCCACCATGTGGTTGCTGGGAATTGAACTCAGAACCTCTGGAAGAGCAGCCAGTGCTCTTAACCACTGAGCCATCTCTCCAGCTCCCATTAGTGCATTTCTTAACCTTCGTGGGAGAAGTTTCTTTTTTGCAGTAGCTGGAGATTACTATAAAGACTTACAACTAGTCAACATGCAAGACTGTGCTCACCCCTAAATGGGGCATATATATTAGATTCTCTTATTCCAAGACTCAGGGAATTGTCTCATAAGAAAGGAAGTTATGGAAAGATTCTGAGAGCCAGAGGTAATGGATTAACTGCTATAAAACAGGGTTTTCTTGACTCAACAGGGCCAATGCACACATGAATTCATAGTGGCTATGACTACATGCACAAGACCTAGCTAGCCAAGATCTCAACAGGGACCAGGAGGGAAGCACCATCCCTAGCTGAGGGTTGGCAATTGATGGCTACTGGGGAAGGGATGGTCAGTTTTCTTGAGGATTTCTGGCCCTGATCAGATATCTGTGCTCCAATTGATGACCCTTACATACACGTGCATGCCACCAGGATTAAGTGGACTCAAACTCATGTGTTAAAAACAAAAAACCACATGAACTTGGGAGGGGAAAGTGGTGGGAGAGATGGGGTAGAGTAGGACAGGGATGGGCTCGTGGGAGGGCCCGGGAGTGGATTTGATCAGAACATGTTATTGCATTCTCAAAAAGAACGAGCTTGGATTAAGTGTTCTCGAATTTGAGCTTCAGGAGGAGTAGAAAGGGTAAAACTTATGAGCATGTGACTTCACTTAAAGGTAAGGTCGAGGTTTGGACTGAGGGACTGTGGTGTGCTGAGGTGAGAAAGGCCTTGTGCTTTCCCTTTAAATCATAGCTGAATGGTCTAACTTTTCATTGAGTCTGTGAATCCTTTTCTGTTTTTTGTTTTTATTTGTTTGTTGTTTTGTCTTGGGGCAGGGTCAAGACAGGCTGCCTTTGAACTCACTGAGATCCTCCGGACTCTGCCTCCAGAGTTCTGGGATTAAAGGTATGCACCACCATGCTCCCCTCAGCATGGCATCTTTAAAATCAATTAGAAGACGGCCACACTTTCACAGAGAATCCTTACTGATCTTGACTGCATTCAAAGTCCAGCAACTGCTGCACCCGCAGTTTGGGCTCCTTCCCCCGTACACACCTGGGGATATCATGTTCTCTGCTGAGCACTGGAGGCTACCAAGATGGGTACCACATGGTCCATGACCGGCTGGAATCCGCACCAGAACAAGGGCAGAAGATGGTTTAAAAAAAAAAAAAAAAAAGGGCAACAGTATCATTGAGGATACACCAGCTGCCTCGCTTGACTCATACTTGGCTTTTTATGGGGTTCATCTGTGGGCTATGCATACTGACAGGGTCATCCTTTAAGTGTCTAAAGGAACACCAGTTAATACTGCCAAGCAGGAAGTGTAATTGGGGAAAGAGGAAACCCCTGAAGATACCCACTGGGGCACACAGGTGTCCTGGCTATTCTTTTCTGGAGTCTCTGCTGAGTAATTTGGGTTCTAACACAGCAAAGGGCAGCTGATCAGTTGGAACCAAATGCTACCTTTCAACTAACTGCCGGGAAATAATTTGTAACAGAGTGGAAGACGATGCAAAGTGCTACGTTGCACACTAAACTGTGTTCTATTTCCCGCCCAACTTCATTGTTTCCATGCACCAAAACGTTGATGCTGTAAATACTGGAGGCCACACTTACCTGTCAGTTTTCTTCCATCCCAAAAGGCGCCACGCCGAGCAAGAGCAGTGGCCGGAGCCAGCCTCTCGTGCCGGGAGCGTGCTGGCCGCAGGCGGAGCTGCTGGCGGGGCCACCAGAGCCACTAGCGAGCCCGGGTTCCCGCAGTCCGCCTCACGCGCACGCGCACGCGCACTCCCCCTCGGCTGCACCAGCGCCTGTGGGCTTGGGTAGCGCGGCTACTCCAGTGGGCGGAGCTGCGAGGTGCTCTCCTGGCCACGTGACCGGTGCCAACATGGCGGCGCCCATCGGCGTCCACCTGTTCGTCCGTGGAGGTAAGCGATCGGCGTACGACCGCTCCAGGGCTCCGCGCCCAGAGATAAAACCGCGTGTGGACGCGGCACGCACGTGCGTGCTTTCAGTCAGACCCCCCCCCCACGATACACACTGGCACGCTGCAGAAACACAGACACACGTTTGTCCACTCCTTTCCTGGACCATGTCGCTGAGTCCTTGAGATTTGCGGGTCGTCGCCTAAAGTTTTCTTACCCCATTTTACTTGTGTGATTAGTGTTACAGACATATATACCGGCGACGCCTGTGAAATGCGCTTTTGTATTGGCATGTCTTCTCTTTGAGGAACTTGTAAAATGTGATTACTCTCATGATGACTTAAGAGAACTTATGATACCCAAGTCATTCCAAACAGATGCGATTGCGGTGAATCATTGTTGAGTTAGTATAGGTTCAGATTCTTTTCTGGAAAGAACTCAGAAACTGGTTCAAGGACGAGGAAAACAGCACCAACGACTTAAGGGACTACTTAAGTGCCAGGCAGATAGGAACGGTTTTAGGAGGTAAATATTTTCATAGTGACACCCAACACTTATTATATGCCTTCCGAGCCACCTCACCAGCTCAGGTTAACTTAATACAGTCTTGTGTGAAATCAGATATACCGACATCTTTGTGTGTATATGTGTGTCTAAGGAAGCATAAAAATGTTGACTTTGACATGGAACAGTATCCTCAAAATATATTGTTTGGAAAAACCAAGTTGTAGGACAATTCATTTATGTTTAAAATTGCATGTATTTGTCTGTTTATTGGATAAGTGTGTGCTCAATCAGGTGCCAAGGTGCACATATAAAGGTCATAGGAGAACCTCAGGGAGTTCTCTTTCCGTCGTTCTGGGTTTCAGAGGTTGAACTCAGGTCATCAGGTTTTGTGGTAAGTGCCTTTACCAGTGAGTCATCTCACCTGTCCAGTTTAGCTTAAACCAACCCCTTCTTGTGAAGTCAGATACCTACCTGTATTTGTGTGTATATGTGTATGTAAGTTTATAATACATACAAGAAATGGCATACCTTCAGTTTCGTGAAATAAAACACTCAGCTTTTATGAAATGCCTATCTTCTCCAAAGCATTCAAAAATTTAGAAAATATGCAGTGTCTAACAAATTTTAGAGATTTGGGCAAGAGTGAGTCAATCATTATATGCACACAGCATCACTTGAATAATCTTTTTTTACACTTAAAACGACTTGTTATTGTGAAGAATAGATTTTCTTTTTTTTTTAGCCTTTGAAATGTTTTTAATGTGAGAAGTTTCAAACGCAGAGACGACAGAGAACAAAGCAGCAAACTCTGCGTATGCATCATCTACCTGCAAACCATATGTTTAGAGACACTTATTCCTCCTCCTCCCCAGCCACATTACCTTCCCCCAACTGTATTATTTCAAACTATGTCCTAGGTATATATCTCTTCATTTGTAGATTCTTTTCACTGTGTATCTCTGAAGAATAAGCTGAAGGATTGGGAGTGTAGCTCAGTGGTTAACACCCTTGAGGCCCAGGTTTGGGGTTTCAACCCCAGCCCCACAAAAGGAAATAAAAGACAAAACAGACAGAAAATCCCACTCCACCTCATATATATAGTACTTATTTCTAGAATTGCCATTTAGCTATTCGTTTAAGACAGAGTCTCTTATAGTCCAAGGTGTCCTTGAACTCTGATCCTCCTGCCTCTACCTCCTGTGTGCTGAGATTAGAGGTGTGGACCACAGTACTGGGCATTTCCCCGCCCCACTGTTTCCCTGTTCAAATTTCCCAGCCATTCACTCATTAGTAGAAGTTTCTAACAACTGTCCTAACAAGTGTCTTCTGTAGGATGGTCTTGAATTTTTGGTCCTTCTGCCTTCTCCAAAAAATTGAGATTACAAGCATGTGCTACCCCACTCAGTAAACATAACAACTTTAAAAAAAGATTTAGTTTTTATTTATTTATGTGCATGTGTGTGTTCCTGCATGAATTTACGTGTACCACATATATGCAGGTACCTGATGAGGCCAGAGGGAGTCAGATCCCCTGGAACTGGAGTTAGAGACAATTGTGAGTCCCAAGATAGGCATTATGGAAATCCAACTGGCAATATCTGCAAGAGCAGTAAATGTTCTTAACTACTGAGCCATCTCTCCAGCCCATAACAGCTATTTTAAACACTTGAAATCTGGGTTACTCATAGTCTGTTTTATTAGCTTTTTCTTCTTGTTATTATTATTTACATTTTCCTGCGTCATATCTCATGTAATATTTAAAAACTTTGTTTATTTTTATTTTATATGCATTGGTATTTTGCCATGGATGTCGGTCACCTGGAACTGGAGTTACAGACAGTTGTGAGCCACCACGTGGGTTCTGGGAACTGAAATCAGATGAGCAGTCAGTGCTCTTAACCACTGAGTCATCTCGCCATCTCCCTCATGTAATATTTAATTGTTTATGTCTCACAATAGATATCATTTTTTCTTCTTGGTTTTTTGAGACAGGATTTCTCTGTATAACAGCCCTAGCTATCCTGGAACTCACTATGTAGACCAGGCTGGCCTCAAACTCACATCGATCTGACTGCCTCTGTTTCCTGAGTGCTGGAATTAAAGGTGTGTGCTACCATGCCCAGACACAATGGATATCTTTTAGAGATCATAAGATTTTCTTTACAATATGTTGAGTGTTAGGCAGTAGTTTGATTCTGCCAGGTGTATTCTTTGTTAGAACAAATCTTTTTAGGGTTTGCCCTTATTCTTCAGGAAAATACAAGGAGCCTTACTCCAAAGTAGAGTTCAGTAAAGGCCAGGTAGTATCTTAGGCGTTTATGAGCTATCAGTTACAACTTCTCAACTCTTCCAGGTGCAAGTGAGCATAGCTATGTTCTAATAAAACTTTATTTACAAAGACAGGCACCCAGTTAGATAGAATTGGCCCAGTCTTACTCTGTTAGCAGGAGTGATTCTTAACTCCTAAGCCGTAGACTTTCTGGGGTCTCAGCTGAATGCTGTTGGGGTTGGGAAGGCTTTGTGAGGTTTCCTCAGGGAAGTGTGTTGGCTCTGGGACCTAACCTGGGGCTCCTACATCTACCAGCACTGCAAACTCTGGAATTGGTTCAGCTCTCAGTCAGCGGCCCCTTAGTCTTAATAACCTTGTGGAGTGCTGTGCTTCTTTTCCAGCTGCTTTTGAATCAAAACCTCTGCTCTCTGACTTAGCCAAGCCTCAGATGGTTCCTGGCTTCACTTCCCAGTGCCACCTTTGGGAAGGTTTTGCAGAGCAGAAATCTGGGGGGTGATTAATTTGTTTTCTTTTAAGACTCATGTCCTCTGCACAACTTCACTGTGTAGTGCCAACAACTGGTTGGTCCACGTTTGCCTGGTTGCTTAATACAGAGGAATTCTTACAGCAGTGATGCTGCCATAAATAGAAGAAGGTTTGTTTTGGTTTTAGACAGGATCTCATGTATTCTAGACTAATGGAGAACTCACTATAGTTTGTTTGGCCTACACTTCCCTAGCTCTGTTTGTCATTAAAGGAAGTCAGGACAGGAATTCAAACAGGGCAGAAACCTGGAGGCAGGAGCTAAATGAGAGGTCATAGAGGGGTATTGCTTAATTGCTTGCTCCTCATGGCTTGCTTGGCCTGCTTTCTTATAGAACCTAGGACCACCAGCCCTGGGGTGTCCCCACCCGCAATGGCCCAGGCTCCAAACAATCACTAATTAAGAAGATGCCCTACAGTTTTGCCTGTAGCTTGATCTTATGGGGACATTTTCTCAACTGAGGCCCCGCCTCTCAGATGAGGCAGCATGTGTCAAGTTGACATAAAACTAGCTACCACAGTCGCTTCTATCACAAATCGTGTTGCCTGGTGTCACAGCCGACATCCCACCTTTACCAGGTTTCCAGAACTGAGCTAGAAGGCAAAGCTTGCTCACAGAGAAGAATCCATTGTGAAAAGCAAGGCAGAAATTTTAACACTGAGCAGATTATAAGTAGTTTGCAGACTGTGTCTAGACTCACCAGTCCCTTAATAATGTCATTAAGATCGTGACTCTAAACAACATCCATCAAGCTGTAGGATTCCAGGGGTTACTGATACCAGTAAGGGGTGGCTTCTACTGCCTACTGAACATTTTCACTTAATATACATCTCAAAATCAACATGTCAAAATATATATAAATTATTACATATTATATATAATATTCTCTTTTTAAATATATATATTTTAAATATATATTTAATATATATATTCTCTTTTTAAAAGTCAACATGTTTACTTCCCCGAGACCGGATTTGTAGTAAGTACTTTTCCCCCCATTCTCACCTTAGTTGTTAATAAGTTTTGTTTGTATTATTTTGTTTCTCAAGTGGGGTCTTGCTTTGTAGCCCATGCAGGCCTCCTGAGTGCTGAGGTTATACCATGTGCCGCCATGCTCAGCCTAACTGATGGCAATTTAAAAAAAAAGCAGCGTATTTGACATACAATTCACCAATATAAAGTATACCATGTAGCTTTTTACAAATTTTGTGTTTATGTATGATTTATATGTACATAAATATGTGTGGGGTGTGCTTACCTGTGTGTGAGCCTGTGGAGGCCAGAGGTTCACAATGGGAATCCTTCCTTTATTACTAATCACCTTTTTCTTTAAGACAGGGTCTCTTGCTGGGCGGTGGTGGCACACACCACCCAGCACTTGGGAGGCAGAGGCAGGTGGATTTCTGTGGGAGGCAGAGGCAGGTGGATCTCTGTGAGTTCGAGATCAGCCTGGTCTACAAGAGCTAGTTCCAGGACAGCTAGGACAGTTACACAGAGAAACCCTGTCGTAAAACAAACAAGCAAAAAAGATAGGGTCTCACTACGTGTAGATCTGGCTGGTCTGGACTTCTCTATATAGACCAGGCTGGCCTAGAACTCAGGGAGTTGTTTGCTGCTGCTTTCCAAGTGCTAAAACTGAAGGTGTTAGCCACCACACCTGGTTCCATCTTCCTTTTTTGAGAC